CCTATTGGTGGAAAAACCCTGAACCCAAGACCCTGGTTGGCTCACTTAAACTCTCCCTACCTGGTATCATCTCATGGCATATATGGAAACATTACTGCAATTTCACTTGGGGTGATTCAGATTTGACACAACCACACACACTTATGCATACAATCAAACACTATACCCTAAACTGGAGCTCTACTCTCAAATTTACCAAACCCCAATTCATACCCAAAGTCCTCTGCCTTGAACACATGATCTCCTCAAATTTCCACAACCCTAAACCAAAATTCAAGAAAATAAATTGGCAAAAACCTGTTAACTCTCTCAAGCTTAATGTTGATGCAGGATACAACAACAAGGGAACATCCGGTGGCGCCATTCTCAGGAACTTCAGAGGCGCAATGATTAAGGCCTGGTCTTTTCCATCCTCTGGCAGCTCAATACTTGAAGCAGAACTCATGGCAATTGTTAAAGCATTAAAACTCTGCGTTGCGGATTGTGATTCCCACGTACAAGTAGAATCAGATTCATATGAAGCGGTAAGGCTTATTTTACGTGGAAGGGCAGGAGGAAGATTGCTCCCTCTCATAACAGAAATCCAAAACGTAACTAACGGCAAGCCCTTTTTCTTCGATCATTGCTATAGAGAAGGTAATTGCGTGGCCCACCTCTTGGCCCAAGAAGCAACTCCCCAAGTCATATGTTACAACAATTTAGCTCAACTTCCCGCAACTATTAGGGGCTCAGTAATTCTTGACTCTGAAAATCTTTCGTACTTTCGTCAAATGTAATTTTACATTGAGGTAAGGCCTTATGTCCCCCTCCATCTTTTCTTTTTCATTCTAATAAAACTTAATCTTCTCTCTAAATATATATATATATATATATATATATATATATATATATATATATATATATATATATATATGTTATATACTTGTTCATTAAGAAATAGTCAAATACATATCTATTACTCCGTAATATATTAATATTAATTATTATATATATATTATTAAATGGATATTATATATATAATATAATACTTCGTATAATATATATTTATTTTTATATGCGGGTTAGCGGGTGGATGGATGGAGCGGGTGACGGGTCGGGTGATGGATTGGATGAGTGTTCATCCACATCCGATCCAACCCGTCTTTCAATCCACCCATCAACCATTTTTCACTCATACTTTTTCGGGTTTTCGTCCATATTTTCGGTTCGGGTTGACCGGATATCCGCGTGTGCGGGTTATATTGCCAGCCCTATCAAAAAGTGATGCACTTTTGTGTTAGTCAAATTCACTTTTTCTCCATAGCGATGGAAATGCATCACTTTGTTTTTCAAAAGAAGTTCCTGATAATTACACTTTTGCCACCACATTTTGCACTTACAAATTGATTTGATCCACATATTTTTCATATACGGTTAGTTCTCATTTTCATATAAGGAGTACTTTGTATTTGAACCTCCCTCTATGTGCGTATACACACACTGACACACGTGTGTATAATTAATAATAATTAATAAAATTTATGATAATCATTAGATAGGTTTTAAAAGTGAGAAAGCGGTGTAGGGAGCCTAAGACTCGTTGTTTTTTGACTTGGGAATATGGTGAAATAAAGTAAAATGACCCACTAAACTGTTTGTACTCCTTTGTTATGAAGTAGCAGCCAGTTCATGGAATTTTTGACGTGATTTTTACTTTGGATAATCCGGAAACAATCTATTTGTGCTTTAGTACAGGGTAAGGTTTCTTACATTTGACCCCCTTACCTCCATTGTAGGTTAGAGAGCCTTTGTGACTGTCCAAAAGGTTCTTCCCAACATATATAGGGGAGGAGGGGTCTTTGTATTAATCATGCACTAATACCACAGTTATTGTGGTAAAACTGCCCGTTAAACACGTCTTAATGACTTGGAACGTTACATGCCATTAACCACACAATTAAACCATGTATTGATCACGTATTGCAGTTTTAGATTGTTAAACAACATTCGAAACACTTGCAGTTCAAAGGAGAAATTAAAACATCCATTAACCGATGATAGTTCTACGTTTAGTTCTATCTTCAAAATATTCCAATTTTCCAGCTCAACAAGTGATGAACTTCAAGAATCAATTTCTAATTCACTGGTTATCCGTTTTGAATGTGCCATATATCGAATTGAACCCCTTACCGAGGAGGAGGATATATATGTTGATAATATGATTGTTAGGAAAAGGTGGTTTTATTTTACAGAAAAATAAGAAATTAAAAATAGCCCAATAAACTAGACTTCAAAGTTTGTGCAAAGCCCAATGTCCTTAAAATCAATTTGATGCCTCCCACAGTGCTAAGAGCGTTGTAGCATCAGTTTCCCATAACACGATGGCTGACAAGCAACCATATTGCACACTTAATAAGTTGCTTGAGTGTATTGGAACAAAGGGTAGAACAGAGAACAATTGGCAGAGTTTTCATTAGAGTGAACAATGTCGTAGTGGTGTGCTGTATTCAAGTATGTGACTGTCCAAAAGGTTCTGCCCACGTGTAAAATAGGGGAGGAGGGGACTTTGTATTAGCCATGCACTAATACCACAGTTATTGTGGTAAAACCGCCCGTTAAACGTGTCTTAATGACTTGGAATGTTACATGCCATTAACCACGCAATTAAACCATGTATTGATCACGTATTACTGTTTTAGATTGTTAAAAAACATTTGAAACACTTGCAGTTCAAAGGAGAAATTAAAACATCCATTAACTGATGATAGTTCTACGTTTAGTTCTATCTTCAAAATATTCTAATTTTTCCAGTTCAACAAGTGATGAACTTCAAGAATCAATTTCTCATTCACCGGTTATCCATTTTGAATGTACCATATATCGAGTTGAACCCCTTACCGAGGGGAGCCCGAATCCACTTTGATTCGGCCTAAATCGAAAGTGGATCCCACCCAAAATTTTGCGCAAAAATGGTTATTTATTATAATTTTTCCAACAATCTCCCACATGAGTGAAAATTGAATTTCTCCGATACTTAAAAAGAAACGAAGATACGTAGACACGACTATGTTCACTGGATGATCCCTGCATATGGAGAGGTAGGTTTTATTCTTTGAACCTTCCGCTGTAAAGACATGTTTGTTTACTGACTGTCTAGTAGGCTCGATGTCTTTGAACTATACTGTATAGTATAAACATTGCTTTATCTTTACATTGGAACCTTCCACCTTTGTTCCATTCTCATGGGTATGCATGTTTTGGCCAAGGGTCACCTTCCCGGCTCTGTGAGAGTTTTTAAGGAACTGAGCCTCCACATTTGTCTTTTGAAACGACCTTTTTCTCTCTCACATGATTATTCTTTCACGAGTATCCCACATACTCTTCTAATGTTATCACGAAGATCAACATTTCAAAATCATTAGAGGAACCATTTTTTTAACGCGGAGTAGGTAAGAGTTTGAGACCCCCACAGTGACCATCATTCATTTTATAATTTAGTTGTCCCTTTTGAACCTAAGGCAAACTAGGTTGGGTATCCACTATAGAACTTTTGAATTCAATGGCTTTAGTCCAATTCTTCGTGACAACTTTTCAAACAATTCTTTATCCAATGTCTTGGTTAGCGGATCCGCTATGTTATCTTTTGACTTCACATAGTCAACCGTGATAAAACTTGTTATGTGAATATGTTTAATGGTATTATGTCTACAATGACATGTCTTGACTTACCATTATACATATTTCTTTGTAGCCTTCCAATTGCCGCTTGACAATCGCAATGTATGCAAATTGGAGGTTCATGCCTTTCCCAACTTGGAATATCCTCAAGAAAGTGGCGTAGCCATTTAACCTCTTCGGTGCACATGTTCAAAGCTGTTATCTCATATTCCATCGTGGATCTAGCTATTATCATTTGTTTCAAGGATTTCCATGACACGTCTGCATCTCCTAACCTGAAGACATATCCACTTGTTGACTTTGAATTCTTAATGTCTGATATCCGACTAGTGTCGCTATACCCTTCACGTACAACTGGATATCTAGCATAGTGCAGTCCAAGATTTCGGGTTTTCTTTAAATACCTCAAAACCCTTACTATTGCCTTCCATTGTTCATCACCAGGGTTACTAGTATATGTACTCAACTTGTTAACCACAAAGACAATGTCAGGCATGTTACAACTCATTGGATATGTTAAGCTTCAAATAAGAGGAAGCGATCCAGCCCAGCTGGTCGCCGACTCACTCTCCCTTACGGGAGGTCTCGGGTTCGAAACTCAATGGAGTGAGTTTCAGCCTAGATTACTCCAGGCTCCCCCAGCCCCCTCCCTCAGACGCCCCCTGGAGTAAAAAAAAAGTTAAGCTTCAAATAATTAGAGCATATTCTATTTGAGAATTACACTATTCGTGATGTTTGGACAGGTGTACATTCTTATCTAATGGTGTCTGTGCCTATTAGTCGCCATCCTTATTAAATTTCGTAAGGATGCTTTCAACGTAATGAGATTGGCTTTGCACAAGACCTTCTGGTCCCCTAATTATTTTAATCCCAAATATTAAAGGAGGTTTGCCCCATATCCTTCATGTCAAATTTAGAACTTAACATGCTCTTGGTACATTTAATCATTAGATTATTACTACAAATGATGAGTATATCATCTACGTATAAACACAAAATGACATAGTCATCTACTGTGCTCTTCGCATACACACATTTGCCACTTTCGTTTATTTTAAACTCATTGATTAACATCATATGATCGAACTTTTTGTGTCACTGCTTAGGGGCTCGTTTCAATCCATATAATGACTTAACGAGTTTACACACTTTCCTTACTTGGCAAGGAACAATAAATCCATCAGGTTGTTCCATATAGATTTCTTCGTCTACTCGTCATATGGAAAAATAGTTTTTACATATATTTGATGAACTTCTAATTTTCGCAATGCAGCAATGACAAGTATCATCCTAATGGAATTTATTCTCGTCACGGAAGAATATGTGTCAAAGTAGTTGTCGCCCTCACGTTGCTTGTATCATTTGATTACAAGTCTGTCTTGAACTTATTGTCGTCATGTTTCATTTTTCTCTTAAAGATCCATTTGGAACCTAGAGGCTCACAATCCAGGGGAAGATCAACCGGTTCCCAAGTGTGATTTTGAAGAATAGAATTCACCTCACTTTTGATGGTTTCTTTCCACATTGGATATATGGTAGATGACACAGGTTCCGTATAAGTCCGCTGTTCATTTTCTATCAAACACATTAGAAAATTCAGTTCATTTTCTACCATACATGTTAGAATATTCGAATCAAATTCTACTAAGTAGGTCAGAAAATCCGGACCGAAAGATTTTTCAACTCTAGCACGTTTTCTACGTTCGGGCTCAGGTTCATCTCCGGACCCATCACTTGTATTATCCATAGCCACTTTGTTTTGACGTACTAGGTCCTTCATTTGACCTACAAGGAAGTACATCTTCAAAAAGTGATGTATTTCTCGATTCAATAATCGTATTTTTATGTAAATCCGGGTTATTGGACTCGTACACTAAAAACCAATAAGCACTACTATTATGTGCATAATCAATAAAAAATAGTTCACCGTTTTTGGACTTATTTTAATTTTCTTTGGTGTTGGTACAAGCACTTTTGCAAGATACCTCCAGACTTTAAATATTGATAGGATGAATTCCTACCTTTCCACAACTCGTAAGGAGTTTTATCGAGTTTTTTCTGGGGTATCTTATTTAAAAGGTAATTGCTTGACAAGACTGCTTTGCCCCACATATTTTTGTGGCATGCCTGAACTTACTAGCATTGCATTCATCATGTCGTTCAATGAGCGATTCTTTCATTCGGCAACACCGTTTGATTGAGATGAATAGGGTGCAGTACATTTGTGCACTATATGTCACACTTGCGCAAGAGTCACCAATTGATGCTTGATATTAACCACCTCGATCACTTCTATCCATTATAATATGTCGATTAAGTTGGTTTTCCACTCCATTCTTATAAAGAATGATTTTATCGATTGCTTCATTTTCATTTTTAGCGAGCGCTATCGTAGATAAATTGAATGTAATAAAATATTTATTACCACCACGTGTTTGGATTGATTTAAAATCACAAACCTCGCTATGGATTAGGTATTTCCGTTTTTCTTTCAATCGATTTGAAAAACTTTTTTTGTTAGTTTTGCCTCGACACAATTCCACATTTGTGTTTCTCATTAACTTTGAATTTAAGAATGTGTTCCATGTTACGTAATCTACATATAGATTCAAAATCAGTATGTCGTAGTCTACCATACCATAAACCAGAAGACTCAACCAAGTAAGCAGAAGAGACTTTATCATCATCATCATCACCACCACCATCATCACCATCATCATCATCATCATCATCATCATCATCATCATCATCATCATTATTATTAGGGAAAATGGTCAAATAGGCCCTCGAACTTACATAAAAAGGTCAAATAAGCCCATATTTAGGAGGGTCTGTCCGGACGTCGCCGTTTGGGACGGTTCCCGGTGGAATTTTTTTATGAAATTTTTTGATCATTTTATTCATTAAGTCTAGTTTACTCATAGCAAATTTCAGCTAAAACTTCAATCAGGAAGGCATTCAAATGAATTCTTGAAGATAACTGCACTTTTAACTGCACAGTTATCTTCAAGAATTCATTTGAATGCCTCCCTGATTGAATTTTTAACTGAAATTTGGTATGAGTAAACTAGACTTAATGAATAAGATACTCAAAAAATTGCATTAAACAATTCTACCGGGAACTAGCCCAAATGGCGACGGCCGGACAAAGTCTCTTATATAAGGACTTATTTGACCTTTTTATGTAAGTTCAGGGGCCTATCTGACCCTTTTCCCTTATTATTATCATCATTATTTTTATCATTATTATTATTATCATCATTATTATTATCATTATTATTATTATCATTATTATTATTATTATTCAAAAACATAATAAATTTCATAGGAAATATTCATACAAAATGATGAGGTTTACAATGACATTAAATTCTTTCTATTGCTGGTCAAAACATTAATGTCATCTGAATTGTTTCAGTAACGAGTAAAAATGGTCTATATTAATTTAAGTTACAACATTTTGATTCTTTTCCAACCCTATGCCATGTGCCCAATTTTGATATTGACCACACCCTTTATTCTTTCTTTAGGACATGGAAGTGAAACACATGTGTAGAAAATGCAATGACATTTGAGGAGTTTGTTAATTTAAAGTGGAAAATCAAATACACATAAATAAAAAAACGGAAATTGTCCTAAATAGGACTAATGAGTTCCTAAAAAGCACAAATAGGACCACTACTTTTTAAATTCCCTAAATAGGACTAAACATAGATTTTCTACCCTAAATACCCCTAAGAGTATTAATTCATAATGAAATGCTTTAATTCATAATAAAATCATAAAAACACGTAAAAAATATTTAAAAAACGTAAAAAAATTATAAAAAATTTATAAAACATTTATAAAATAAAAAATTTAATTTTTATTTTTTTTATTTTTTTAAAAAAATAATAAAAAATAGTAAAAACCCATAAAAAAATGAAAAATTTTATGGATACATTTCCCACCGCCATCCGCCGCCTCCCAGCACCACCACCTCCGATTGGTGAAATTTCTTCCACTTTTGGTAAAAAAATGCCATCTTTTTCTGAAAATGCCAAAAAGATGGCATAATTACTCTTCAATATGCCAACATTTTCATTGAATATGCCATCATTATGGCATTATTTAAAATGTTGGCATATTTTTCTCCGGTGATGGGAGCTGGTGGTGCTGGGGGTGGCAGGGGTGGTAATGTTTTTTTTTTAAATTTTACGATTTATTTTTATTTTTTTTATTTTTTTTTTAAATATTTTTTTTTAATTTTTTTAAAAATATTTTTATTAATTTTCTATTATCTTTTTACGATTTTTAGTATTTTTTTCGATTTTTATTATTTTTGTATGATTTTATTATTAATTAAAACATTTCACAAGTTACAAGGGTATATTTGGCCAAACACACATAAATAGTCCTATTAAGGGAATTTAAAAAATGTAGTCCTATTTGTGCAATTTTGCCACTTTTTAGTCCTATTTAGGGAATTGACTCATAAAAAAATTGTAATTTCCTTCGCACTTTCATTACTTATATGCATGTCTTTTATGTAAATTTAATTGTTTCCGGTGACTTTCTCGTAGGACCTTTTTATGTTTACATTGAATTCTTTAATCACTTGTATGTAGGTCTTTTATGTTTGCATTTAATTTTTACCATTTATTGCAAAATGGTAAGTAAATAAATTATGAGCAATGTTACATTGTTACTCCTTATCATGAGTCGAATATGACATATGCATTGAGTTTATGTGTGTCTGGTGTGCGTATGTTGTATAGATAGCAATTTAGGGGTGAACAAAAAAAATGAAAAATCGAAACCGACTGATATCAAAACCAAACCAACCAAAACCATAACTGGCTCAAACCAAAACCACTCAAACCCATTAACTATTGGTGGTTCAATTTAGGGAAAGTTCCCGAAATAGGACTAAAACAGTTTGAAAATTCCAAAATAGGACTGCCATGTTTTTTATTCCCAAAATAGAAGTAATTACTGCCAAGTTTGGAAAATACTGCCATGTTTGAAGTCTGGTACTGCCAAAACATGGCAGTAATTAGTCCTATTTTGGAAATAAAAACATGTCAGTCCTATTTTGGAATTTCCAAACCTTTTTAGTCCTATTTTGAGTAAATTCTCTTCAATAATTTATGTTTCACCTTTTGAGTTAAAAAACTCGATTGAACTGAAATCGACCGACAAAAACCGACAAAAATATGTTAAAACCGATAACATCGACCAAGATTAACCGAACCGAAACCAAACCGAAACTGATTCAACCAGTGTGGTTAGATTTACAGTTTCACCTTTTCTAAAACCAAAACCGATGAAAATTGAAACTGACGAAATCGAACCGGCGAACACCCCCTGAATAGTATATGTGCCATTTAGGCATGGCAATGGGTCGGGGCGGGGCGGACAGGGTACTACAAGACCCGGACCCGCCCCTTGACTTCACTGCGTGGACCCCCCTCGCCTCACCCCATGACCCGCACGGGTCCAAACTTGTTGATCTATGACATGTCGTAACTTCATTAGCTAGTATGCATTTCTATTTGTATGAAGTTGTTACCACTTAAATCTACATAGAGTTTATCTATAAATAATTATTAAAAAATAATATATTAAATCAAAGTCATAATACTCTAAAAATTTAAAAATTAAGGAAAAAGTACTTAGACTTGAATAGTTAATCTATTTATTTTAATAATTGAATATATATAAGTTAAAATGGTATATAAAAAAGACATTGATAATTCATCGTTCATCTCATTTAAATATAAATAATACTCCGTAATATATTATTTGAACAAAGAATTTAAGGGAAAACTATCAAATAGACTCTTATACTATTGCTGAAAATGGCGATTAGACTCTCGTACTTGAAAAACACTCAATTGAACTCCCGAACTCTTAAAAACCGATCAATTTAGCGTTTTAGCGGGTAGGTTTTAGATTTCCGATTAACGACCCAGGTGGCGATTCACGTGGCAGCCCATGTGGATCTTTTTTTCTTTTCCTTTTTTCCCTTTCTTTTTCTTTTCCTTTTCTCTTTCTTTTTTTCCTTTCTTTTTCTCTCTAGCATTCTCTTTTCTTCTCTCTTTCTTCTCTTCTGTGCAGGCTCCCGCCCTCTTCCCAGCAGCACCGCCAGCCACCTCCCTTGTGCCACTAGTCTGAACTCACCGCCCGCACCACAAGGATGAAATGTTACACCCCCACATCACAGTGGTAGAATAGGCAAACACGAGTACACGACCAAAGAGAAACTAAGTTCAAAGTTCAAACGAACATAATCGTTACCTTTTTGCATTAAGAAAAATGTTAAAATTGATAAAGAACGGCATTAGTTTAGATTTTTCTAAAACTACAACTGTCTAAAATTACAAATAGAATATGTAGGCAATTTTTATGATAGTAACCGTTTTGTTTATAAAAAATTATGTAGTAAAATATTTAATTAACTTTTTTTGAACGTTTATATGTGTTCCTTATTTCATTTGTATGCTATTTAAACTTTCGAAAATATCATTACAGTAGTTTTCATTATATGCATTGATCGATAATTGCAAGTAAAAAAATTAAAACACCAAGAATCAATCAAGTAAACCGGAACCGGGCCGATACCAGTGATCCCCAGTTAAGGTAATGATACCCTTAGGAAGCGCTAATGATACCCTTCGGAAGCGCTAACCGTAACCAGAAGGGTCCACTCCTAGTCATACCCAGATAATGCAGAATGTCAAGATGTGCCATTAACCATTATGACAGGAAAAAGAAAAGGCTTTTAATCTTTAATTCTGACAATAGAGACCATTGAAAACACATTTTTTCTGTGGGCCTCGAATTATTTCCAGTTAGATGAGCATATCTCCAAATCCAAGAACCCTATGGAAAATAGACAGGCCAGTTGAAGTAGTATGAGTCTCTAACTTCTCTGGACATTTGATTCCACTGACAAAAACAAACAAAACCAAAAACAACAAAACAAAAAACAATTCAATTGACTGTTAATACTTCCGAGACTCCAAGGAGTTGCTAACATGCAGCTCAAAAACAGAAGTTGCACTTACTTCTTCTGAGGTTATATTTGGAATACGGAAAAAGTGGAATGAGGGAATGAAAAACATGCTACGTGAAATAGTTGTGCCTTTCTAATACGTAGTAAATATTCCTTGGAGTATTTGAAGAAAATTCATATTTGACATACAAAAAAGTAAATCTTCTTTTACATGCGCTAAAATTTCTTAGTCTTTGTATAATAGAAATTCACAAAAATATAATGAGTTAGGAAGAATGTCTAAATTTAATTTATTGATTTTGATCAAGGTTTTTTATTTTCCCCACTTTATTTTTCCCCATCTTCCCCTGTATTTGCCTCCCTACTTTTTACAAGTAATTTCTGGATTCCCAACGGACCCCAAGGGCTTTTTTCATGGGGTAATTTGAGTTTGCACCCCATATTCTTGTCTAAATTGGACTTTGCACCCCATTTTTAAAACTCTTTGTTATTGCACCCCAACCCCATATGAAAAGACAAAAAAGCCCCTCCATTAACAATTCTGTTGACCTTTAACATATTCCTGATTGAGGGCATTTTTGTCTTTTCATATGGGGTTGGGGTGCAAAAACAAAGAGTTTTAAAAACGGGGTGCAAAGTCCAATTTAGACAATAATATGGGGTGCAAACTCAAATTACCCCTTTTTTCATTTGGGGAGTTCATGTATTCATGTATAGCTTTTAATATTCACATCGCCAACCATAGAAGCGCAGACCAAATTTTAAAAATAAGAACCATCCATTGCTTACCCTCCTATCCAAAATCCCAAACAAAACAGAACCTGAAACATAGTAGATTTAGACAAAGAACAAAATTAGATGTGCGTGACACAGCATGTGTACCTTAAACTTATATGGCTGGTTCTTCTTCCGTGCTTGCTTCCAGTGGTACTGCTCAAAAAGCATTGCTTGATCATGCCAACTGTGCGGGCAGACACAAATGCA